GCGGGGGGCGGCGCGCAGGAGTCGGGCCTGGGCGGGGCGGGGCATCTGCTTCAGCTGGTAAGCGGGGGCGGCAAGGGCGACACTGCGGACTGAGCCTCGGGCAGGGCTGCGCGGGGGCCGGCGCGGCACAGGGCGGGGGTGCCCAAGCCACCTCCAAGGGCCAGGAGCTGCTGGCGTCACCCACCAAGGTGTCCCCTCAACCTGTCCTGCGGGCACCGTGGCAAGTCTCAGCACAGGACTGTCCACTCCCTAGGCCTCCCCTCCTGCACGGATGGTCCTGAAAGCTTAGGGACGGGACCCAGGAAGGCCCAAGAAATAGAACCAGGGGTTGTGGGGAGCCGGGTTGCGGCGTCAGGAAGCCCAGGCAGCGGGGCCAAGAGCCGTCATTGGGATCCCCGTGAGTCCCGCCACAGCAGCACCCGAGGCTTGGGTGCATGACAGCTCCCGTCCCTGCCAGGTCGGAACCTGGACCCTGGATTTGGTTTTTAAAAAGCGTTTAAATGACAACACCCTCGGTTGTGGAGTCCCAGGGGCTTCTGCTCTGTCCACCGCGAGGCCGGAGGGCCATCCCGTCCCCGCCTCCAAGACAGGCCCTTCGAGCTCCGGGTGTCTGGCCTGGGCCTTGAGTCCAGCCCGCTGGGGAGCTAGGGGTAAAAATACAAAAACGAGTCATCCGGACAGTGGTGAGGGGCGATGAGGGGAGGGGCCCAGGAGGCCTGACAGCCAAGGCCTGGCAGTCTGCTTGAAAACCTCTAGAAACGTAACAAGAACTAAGGAAAGCCAACGATATAAACAGTCTTCAGTGGGCGAGCGTTCACATCACACGGCAGCCTCTCGAGGTGGTCCTGGGGTCTCCCTGGAAGGAAGGAGGACGCGGTCAGGGCCGGTGAGGCCCACGCACAGCTGCCACCCCAGCAGGAACGGCCGGCGTGGCTGGGGTGAACACCCAGGAAACGCCCACGGGGACAGGTCAGTGGGTCCCACCACCCGCCTCCACCCTGTGAGCTACACGTTACACTCTTCTCACACCCAGAGGGCTCTCCCGAGGCACGCTCCATCCTCACCTGTCCCCAAGGTCATCGTTCAGTGACCGCGCCCTGGCCTGGTGCAGGGCGTGCTTGGAGCCTGGGCTGGCACAACGGGAGACGCCCCAGGGCTCCCGACTCCCCGGTTCCCAGGCTGACAACCCACACGACCGCAGGACCAGCTCTCACCCGTGGCCTGTGGCCAGGAGCCACGGGGCCTGCAGGCCAGCCAGGCCCCGGTGCCAGCCTCGCCCCAGCCATGGTGGCCAGAGCGAGCGCCTGCCAGGGCTGCAGCGAGCCCAGCATGCGCACGGATGTGTGTGTGGCGTTCACGCGTGTGCCCAGCCACGTGCCCAGGCCCCACCACAAGGCCCACCTGCTGGAGGAAAACATTCTCCTCCTGGAACTCGGCCTCCTCCTCGTCCTCCTCCCCGTCCTCGATCTCCCGTGCCCCTGAGGACTGCTTCACGGTGCGCACGGCCACTTCCTGGGTGAGACGAGAGCCGACACTCACCCCGAAGCCCGCGGCAACACCCATCAGGCGCCGAATGACCACGGCCTCCCATGAGGCCCGGAGCTGCCCGCCCAGCGCGCACCCACCTCGCCGTCGGCGTTGACCAGGACGGTGCGGAAACTCTCACCCGTGCCCCAGCTGCTCTGGCTCTTCCACACGAGCGTCGCGGGCGGGCTGTGGGCCACCCCTGCGCCTGCCGCCCACACCTGGGGACCCGAGAGCAGCCACGTCAGCGTCACAGCCCCAGCCATGGCCCGACCCCACAGGCCCCTTCAGCGCCCCCGCACTTGACCCCTCGGCTCCAGGCTGGCCAGCCCAGGGCCGACGATCCGAGGTGCAGCGGAGACCCAGGCTCCACAGCCCAGGGCGCGCCACAAACAGGCTGAGCCGGGGCCTGAAGCCCGCAGGGCCAGGGTGTGGCGCCCTCGGCTGGGACACGCCGCAGGCCAGGATGCACACCCTGGCACGGCTGAGCCTGGGCCCTCGGCGCCCGCCCCTGTCAGTGGCCTCCCTCCCCAGACCCGGCCCGCCATCCGGCCCACCACCTACCGTGACCGTCTGGCCGGCCCGCAGGACGTACTTGGGCGTGAACTTGTAGGCGAGCTCGGTCCCCTCCAGGATCTGCCGCTTGATCCTCCAGTTCCCCAGAGACTGGTCCTGGAAGGGCAGCACCGTGACCCTCGCCCGCCCCTAACCGGCCGCCCGCCCCA